CTGCAGCCTCGACCTGCTGGGCTCCGGCAATCCTTCCCCCTCAGCCTTCCAAGTAGCTGGGACTACAGGCGCACGCCACTACACCTGGCTAATTTTATTTACTGTAGAGACGAGGTCTTGCCAAGTTGCCTGGGCTAATCTTGAACCCCGGGGCTCAGTCCTCTCGCCTCCACCTCCCGATGCGCTGGGATGACAGGCGTGAGCCGCTGCTCCAGGCTCAAGCCGGAATTTGACCCACTGCCTGCCCACACCCGCCAGGGTGGCTCAAGGGGCCCCTCTCCACCTTCACACGCTTGCCCCTGCTTCCGGGCCATGCTGGAGTCCTGGCTTACGACTGCTGCCTACAGTATCCTGCGCTTTCTTTGGCACCGCTGATTCCCTGGGCGAGCCCAGAGCGGGGAGGATGGCCTCCACCCCCTCGAGGCCCGGGCCTCCCGTGGGTGGAGGCTGCCCACGTTGCTCACCTGTGCAGCAGGCTGATGCGCAGGCCCCCGTGGCTCGTGGAGCAGGCCCGGAGGCTCAGGTGGGCGGCGCCTCTCGCACCGGTGTCCATGCTGATGGTGGCCTGCACCTCAGTCTCCATGTGTAACTCCACGATGGTCTTGACCAGGGGCCTGCGGGGGGCCTGACTGAGTGTCCTCCACACCCTGGCTGGAGCTCACCTGCCGTCTGTCTGCCTCCGCCCTCCCCTCAGCTTCCTCTGCTGGCTTCTCATCTTGCCAACTTCTCTACCCCAGCAAGTCCCAGGCTTACTCTGGGGACCCCTCCTGCTTAAACCCGTTCCCACTCCGATGCCCTGTGGGCTTCTCGAGTGCAGCACGAACAACACGGTCCCAGATCATACCCCATGGCCGTCCCCGTCCTGGGAACAGACCACTCCATCCTGCCAGATGTGCCACCAAAGCCTTGTGTTACACTCACCCCTGTCTCTGTCTCTCCCACACACCCACGCTCCACTCACCAGGAAGCCCCACCGTCTTTCCCTGCCTCCACATTTCCAGATCCAACCACTTCTCAACACCTCCCTGCTCCAAACCCTGGTCTGAGCCATGACTGTGTCCTCCCGAATCGTCCAGAGCTCCTGGATGGCCTTCCTGCCTCCACTCTTGTCCCAGACAGCCTATTTTCCCTACAGCAGCCAGAGGGACTCTTTAGAAATGTCAAGCCAAGTCACATCCTTCCTCTGCCCAGAACTCTCCTGGCTCGCGTCTCACTCAGCAAAAGCCAGACCAGTTTTACCCACACGGCCTTGCAGTCTGGCCTCGGCTGCCTGCCGGCCTTGTCCCCTCCCTCCCTCCCTCCCTCCCGCTCCCTTCCCTCTCTCTACCGTACTTGGAACAAGGCAGGTGCACTCCTGCCTCAGGGCCTTAGCACTTGCCCTTCTTCCTGCCCAAGACTCTCTTCCAGAGGCCTACATGGGGGGAACGGGGAAGCAGACAGACACCACAAGGCCCACTGCACCGGACTGCAGGGACACTCACGTGTTGAGTCCGGCCACCATGTCCAGGGGGATCTTGACCTCCAGCTCCTGGTTGTGGGCCGAGGGCTGCACTTGCAGCTGGAGGATGTTAGCTGAGGTGACCTTCAGCCTGGGTGGGGGTCAGAAGAGATGGAGTCATGCCTCACCTCGGCTGAGCTTCACTCCCAAGCCCACTGCCCCGGTGGCTGGTGTGCAGCTGGACCCCAGCCCTGCACACTGACCCCCGTCCGGCACGCCCGGCCTTCGCCCCGCCCCCACCCCCCAGCCAGCAGCACCGACGTTTCCTTCCTGTTGGGTGACGAGTCCAGCTCCTTGGGCTGATGCGTGAGCCCCTCCGTACCCTGGCCCTGCTGACTCCTTGCCTTGAGGTCTGGGCTCCAGCTTTTGACGGACTCCCCCTGTATACCTTGGCCCAGGCCGGCTCCTCCCCCCGGAAGGCTGCATCTCTCTCTCGTGTCTCCTGGTGGGCCCTGAGACATCGGCTCAACAGTCACCTCCTCCTCCGAGCATCACCTCGCCTTCCCCGCCCCCAGATGTCCTTCCTTTGGGGTGGCCACATTGGGCCTCCCGGTCCCTGTCTCCTGGTCTCATCAGCCAGGCGGGGGCTTCTTGAGGGAGGAGCTGGGGAGATCCATTCTCCGTGGGCCGGCATGACCTGGTGTTTGCGGATCAACGGACGGAGAGTGCCAGTGTGCCTGGGCAGGGGTGGGGCAGAGCCAGCTCTCGGGGCGGTCCTCCCTGCTCACCAGACGATGTGCCTCAGGACAGTGTTCACGAGGCTGCCCAGAATCGGGATGCCCCCGGTCGGCGCGTCCCGAATGGCGCTGAGCAGCGGCAGCTGCTGGAGGATGGTGGTGGCTCCCGCGTCCCTCAGCTCCTGGGACAGCTCTGGCGACAGATCCCGGGATTAGGAACCGGGCAGGGGCAAGAGGAAGACTTGGGGGGCCTCCAGGCTGGGGGGGGGGCGTCACTTAGGGCCTCCCCGACTGTGCCAAGACGAGGGTGGGGCCTCTCCACCGTGTGGGTGTGGCCTCGAGGAGTGAGGCTGGGACTGCTCACCTCCAAGCACCGCCAGCCTCTACTGGGAGCATCGTGACCTGGGCACCCACAGGCCCTGTCTGGGGCTGTTCTGCTGCCGAGCCCGTTGTGGACTGATCTCTGGCACCCACACCCCGTGGGCCTGTGGTCCAGAGAGCCTCGGTGCCAAACAGAGGCCGGAGGGCCAGGACAGAGGCACCTGCTTGGCCCTGTACTGGCAGCCCAGTCCGTCCGGTTCATGTGCAGAGCAGGCTCAAGGTGTCGGGGAGCTGCTGTCCAGGGCCGCCCCCAGCTGACGACTGGTGAGAGCGGGCGGGGGACCCCTGGCTCCCTCGCCCTCTGGCAGGGGCCCTCACTGTGCCCAGGGTTCTTGCTGCCTCCCGGCCGCAACCCGCCTCCGTTGCCTGCTGTGACGGGCCGGGCCCTGCAGAGACTCCCTGTCAGCCGGCACAGTGTCAAGCCTGGCGGTAGAGGCTCTGGAGGGCCAGAAGGAAGGGGCTTCCCCGCAGGGTCCTGGTGTGGCCTCTCTCGAGGCTCCCGTGGAGTCCCCGCCTGTGGCTTTGGGCCGTGAGTTGCAGCCCTGAGAGTGGGCTCTGCAGGCCTCCGGGGGCTTCCGGGAGTTCTCCAGATGGCTTCCCAGTGAGCCAGCCAGTCCCCTTCCTCCAGACGCTGTGGCTTTCTGGAGGTGGTCCTCTGTCCACCAGCCTCAGTTTACCAACTGGGGGCCAACCTGGTGAACTTCTTCACGTGGGGGGCTTCAGCCACGCCCCATCAGTGAGGCCTGAGGACTCTGTACCTCTGAGCTGGTGATGTCTGTGGCCCCTCTGTCCCAGGGTACCCTTCAGAGTCCTCTTTTCCCTCTGGGCCAGCTCCTTGGTCCTCTGTCCCTGGCAATAATTCTTTATTAAACGCACCTGTTGGGATGACCGTGAGGTCTGTCTCCTAACTGGCCCCAACCGGTGCAGTTGCCTGGTGGGCGGGCACTCCAGTCCCCACAGTGGGAGGTGGCTTGCAAATGTGCCTTTATGGCTGCCCTCCTTCCTGACACGCCTTCCACCTTCCTGCCACCTCCACAGTCAGCCAGGGGCAGCCGATGCCTTAACTCACATCCTGTTCTGAGAATCTTTTTTTTTTTTTTTTTTGAGTTGGAGTCTCACTCGGTCACCCAGACTGGAGTGCAGTGGCCGCTCCCGGCCACCACAGCCTCGACCTGCTGGGCTCCGGTGATCCTTCCTCCTCAGCCTTCTGAGTAGCTGGAAGTACAGGCGTGCACTACTATGCCTGGCTGATTTTTTTTTTGATTTATTGTAGAGATGAGTTCTCGCCAAGTTGCCCAGGTGGGTCTCGAACCTGCGGGCTCAGGCAGTCCACTCACCTCAGCTTCCCAAAGGCGTGGGATTACAGGCTGAGCCACCGAGCCCAGCTTGCTCCGAGAATCTTAACCCTGATGGCTCCCCCACCCCGGGCTCCTTCTGGCTGAAACCCTACGTCCCTGAGCTTCCGCATGTGGGTCCGGGCACCTCGCCTCCCCCGTCTCTCCTCCTGGAGCTCCCCGCTCCTGTCTGGCTACAGATCCCGCGGGTCCCACAAGCCTTGGCCCTGTCCCTGGCCAGTTACACTGAGTGCAGAGGCCTGGTCCTCCATGCACTTGGAGGCCCCCAGAGCCAATGGGCGAGCCTTCTCTCAGGCCATGGCACCTGAGAGCACTGCTTCTCCCTCGGAGTGACTTTTGTCCCCTAGGAGATGCACAGCAATGTCATGGCTGGGCCGAGGACGCGGTTCACATCCTATAATGCTCAGGACAACCCCTGGGATAAAGGGTTGTTTGACCCGTTACCTCAGAATGCCAGGGCTGAGACCCCGGTCACGGTACTCACAAAGCTCCTGCCCACTCCAGCCCATTGGTGTCCCAGCAGCCCAGTGTGGGAGGCCGAGAAGGAAGCCGAAGCCTGGGGACTGGCCCGGGGGCGCAGGACTGGAGAGGGACAACAGGCTGCTGGCCTTCCTGCCAAGGGCCTCTGCCCTGTGGAGGAGGCGCACTGGGTCTCGTCTCACTCGGGCGCTCGGGTGGTGGGATTCCAGACCGGGGCAGCAGCTCAGCAGGGGCACTGTCCACATGTGGCCACACCCCTTCTGCAGGACACGGGGACTCACGGTGGGCTTTTGGGATGGTGGGGTCTAAGAGGAAGGAGGTCGTGGACTCGTGGGACCGTGGACGCTCCCAGCCCTCATAGCTCCTCCATTCGTGGCTTGCTGATTCCTGGGGTCTGGACCATGTCTTGCATGCCCCGGCGAGGAGCCCCCACCTGGAGGCTGCCCCACTGGCCCCCTCACCTTCTGGGGGTGAGGCCAGGAACCAGACTTACTTTCTTTGATGACTTCTGGGCCAAGGCTGAGAACCACGGCTGGGCTGAAGGTGGCTCGGACCAAGGTGGCTGCCAGCAAACCACCGAGGAGGAGGAAGGGCCACGGGCCGGCCATCTTCCCGGGTTTCAGTGAGCAGCAGGTGGTAGAGCCTGGGGTGAGCACAGAGGACCCTGCTAGGCAGGCAAGAGGCCAAGGGCAGCCCCCAGTGCCTGGGCACTGGGGCACGGCCTCTGAGAGAGGCGTTCAGTGTAGTGATAACTGCCACGGCTGGCTGTGTGACCTCAATCAGTGTAACCTCTGTGTCTCCGTTTTCTCGTCTGACAAACGGGCGCAACAACACTGACTTCACAGAGTTGAGAAGACTGACTGGATTGCTGTGTCTTTCACATGACCATGTGTCTTTCACATGGTCAGCACTTGGAAGAGATCTGCTATTTTTCTTGGAGAAAACCTACCCACGATGCTCAGGACAAACTCCTCCACTCTTGCTTCCCCCAACCCAAAGCACTCCTGGTCCACGCTCCGCTGACCACATCTCCTGCTTTTCTCTTCTTGCTCTAGCAAAGCCCGCGCTGCCCCCGTTCCCAGATCTGCTCTGTTCTCTCCTGCGACTGCGCTGGGCCCTTACTCTTCCGGTTTCCTGGAGGGTTTTCTCCTCCGGATCTCCCTGCCAAGCTCCCAGTCATCCTTTAAAACCCTGCCCAGGTTTTCATCTTCTCAGTAAAGTTTTCCCTCTCCTGCAGCCAGGGACCCAGGCCCACCCTTGGAGGAACATTGCCTTGGGGCCAGGACTGGCAGGCTGGAGGCAGGAGGAGAATTCAGGTAGGACTCAAAGTTGTGAGAAGCTGCCCACCTCTTCCAGGCTAAGCGGCTGGGGGGGATGGGTAGCTTCTTGGAAACAGGACACGATAGGGAGACAGAGATGGAGGGAGGGAGAGGGAGAGAGGAAGAAAGAAGGAGGGAGAGAGGGAGAAAGAAGGCAAGAGGCAGAAAGGAAGAGGGAGGGAGGGAGAGGGAAAAGGGAGAGAGAGGGAAGGGGAGGGAGGGAGAGAGGATGGGGCACTCAGAGGAGGACAGGAAGGAGGAAGGGAGACCCATGGCATGCCTGGGAGGGAACTTGAGTGTCCAGCCCTCCCTGAGGCAAGCATCCGCACCTGTCGCCCAGGCCGGACTCTGGCTCACACCCTGGCTCTGCCTTTAACACCGTCAGCTGGAGGGAAGAGAGCCTGCCTCAGAGGCCGAGGCCTTGCCTGGCTCATCTGGTCGCCACGGGCATTTTTATGTGGCATGGGATGACACATGTCTCCTGCAGTCTGGGCCCTCACACTAAGGGTCTGCACTCGCCTTCCTGACTAGGCAGGGGGCTCCCAGGGTGCTGGGCCCGCCTGGCCCAGCACAGCCCGGCACTGGCATCCAGCGTGCAGCATGTGGTTTTTCAGAAGGGGTATGTGGGCCCGAGAGCCCTGGGGGAGTTAGACACTGAGCCGGGGTGGAGAGGCCTGAGGTTGCGGGGGCATTGTGGGCTCCCACAGGCCTGCTCGGCACCTGTTCTGTGACCCTGGGCACGGGACTCCCTCTTGGAGCCTCCATTTCATCATCTGAAAATGGGGTGATGATGGTGCTCATGTCACTGGGTTGTCTGAGCTTGAATGAGACCATCTGTTGGCAGCCTGGCCCGACACAGCGTCCGGAACGTACTGCGACTGCCATGATTATGACAGTTGCCGTCACTGACACTGGGGTCAGAAGGCTACACGCTGCAGTCACAGCCAGTCCAGGGTGACACCGCAGCCTGCTCTTCCGCCAGCTCCATAGTGGTTTTCTCCAGACGCCTTGGCCGGCGTGTCCCCCACCATCTCTCCACACTGGTCCTTCTTCTGATCAGAGGAGCCAGGAGCCCCCCAAGGAGAGCACTTCTCCCCCCAAATTCATGGGCCATGCACCCACCACAGGACTCTCCCCTCCTCCTCTGCCCAGCCCCCTTCTGCTGAGCTTTGCAGCCAACATGTCACCTCTTCCAGGAGGTCTTCTCTACCCCCCACTTCCCTGTCCCGGGCCTTCCGTGAGCATAGCACGCACCACAGGAGCCCACACCGGGAGCTGCCTGAGAGCACGAGGCTGTGCGTGAAGCTTCCTCATCCTGGCATCACCGGCACAGCAGGGCATGGAGCAAGCATGTGTGCAGGTGGGCTCCAGTCTCCGGGATGAGGTCAGGAGAAGACTCCGCCAGTCCCTTCATTACCGCTCTTAGCTCTTCTGGCAAGGGGGCTGGGCTGCCCCTCTCTAGGCCTGGCCCTGCCCCTCGGCAGTCCCGGCTCCCCGAGGGCTCTTACCCTGTGCTCCCCGAGAGCATCCCTGTGCTCCTGACCTGGCCTCAGCAGCCCCGTTCCACAGCCCAGGCTTTGGGCACCTTCCTGGCACTTTTACCTGGGCACGCTGAGTCCTCGGCTGGCTCCACTGCCTCCCAGGCGGCGAGTCTGGAAGCCCAGCCTTATATCCTGCACACTCGACTGGGCAGCCACCCTTGCTTCGAGGCCTGGGGTGGGGGGAGGTGGGACCGGGGGCAAGGCCTCCAAGGCAAATATTTGCAGCTCCTGGTGAACCATGGCCCTGCCCAGAGGCACCCTTGGGATTCCTGCTTCCTGAGGCCTGGGGCAAGGAGGTCCAGGCTGGCAGGAGGGGCGGGTGGAGAGCAGGGCGCTGGCAGGGGCTGACCAGGCTGTGGGAGTTGCTCCCACAGGACAACAGTGAGCACAGCAGTGGTGACCATGAGTGAGTGCCTGTGACGGGAAGGTGCCACCCAGGCTCACACCAGCCGGCCGGTGGGGCCTCGTGGCCCCCAGGGTCAGCATTGCCATCCCAACTTCACCAAAGAGGAGCCAACTGCACACAGTCAGCAAAGACAGAGCCAGAACTCTGACTTTAAACCCACTTGGGAGGACTCCACCGCTTGGCGGCACAAGGGGTATCATGGGACAGACTGGGTTCAAGTCCTGGCTCCACCATTTCCATGCAGTGTGACTCGGGAACATTCTAGAACCTCTCTGAGCCTCAGTTTTTCATCTGCGAGATGGGACTACTGATGGCACCTACCTCCTCAGGGGCTGAGCAGACACAATGCCAATGGCCTGGAGCACGGGCCCTGGCAGAGGACCAGTCCTCAGTGAGTGAGTGGTTGCTGCTACTGTTGCTGCTACCGCTCGTGACAGGGTGAGCCTTTGTAGAGAGTTACAGAAATTCTTAGTCCAGATCAGGAACTTGGGAAAGGAAGCACTCGTCTTGCCCGCTGCATTCCCAAAGGCGTCCAAGGACACACATCGCCCTTAGCTAAACCACCAAAGAGTGGGCTTGAATCCCATTTGCCCCTCTGCTGTGTGTCCCTGGGCCCCAGTGGCCTCCCCTGCAGGACAGGGATAACAGCAGCACTTCCTCACAGGCTGCTGAGAGCTGGGCCGGAAGCCTGCCCGCAGGACACCACCAGTGGGCGCCCCGCTCTCCCTGTGCGTACCTTAGGGATGTCTGTCAGCAAACACCTGTGGGCGAGACAGCAAGGCATGACCGTGAGCCCAGGGAACAGCAAACGGCCCGCAGGACCCTGTCAGCCTGCACCGTCCCCTGAAGGGGTCTCTGCAGCCCCGATTCCCAGAGGGCATGACACTCAGGTAGACTGCATGGCTAGATTTGAGTTGGGATTCGTGCCTCGTCGTCACACACTTTTGACAACCACGCTGTCCTTCCAGTGAGTCCGGGCCAGTGCTGGGGGTGGTGGTGACGCAGGCATGGCCTTCTGGCATTACCTGGGGAGTTAGCCTTGCGGCCTGACTCTGGCCCAGAAGCATGGGGTTAGGTTGGCTGAGAGCTGGGTGGCCATTGCTGACTCGTCTCCATCTGCAGGGGACAGAGAGGGGCAGCGAGTGTCCGGAGGTCACAGTGTGTGGCCAGGCCCTGGCTGGTCTCCTCTTCCTGATTTTTGCCAAGAGGAACAGGGTGAAGAGCATCTGCCCTCCTGCCATGTGTGCAAAGGTGCCAAAGGCCCCAGCCACCCAGCAATGAGAGGCCTTGGGGGCTAGGAGGACTCCCGGCAGGTCTGCCAGCCCTCAGGCACAGTGCCAGTGAGCAGTGCCCTTCCTTGGCTCCCCCAGCTGTGCTTGCTACTTGTGGACAATGCCCCTCTGTGTGGTGCCAGAGCCAGAGCCAGGACAGGCCCATGCATCTCCTGCTTCCTGCCATGTGCTGGGTCAGCGAGCTGGGTGGGCCTGGTAGGTTCACATGCCAGAGCTCATGCGCCCTGGAACCCACACACTCTGGAGCACACATACCCCATGCCTGCCCCTAGCGCTGCTCAGCTCTCCTCGGTCTGCGAGGGCCTCCTGGCCTGAGCCTGTCCTCCTGCCAGCTACCGGTCCTGGGAGGTGCTGTGTCCTCTTCCTGGCCCTCCTCCTCCCCACTGCTCCTCTCTCCTCCCAGGCCTGCAGCAGGGCCCTTGCATGTGCTGAGCCCTCTCCCAGGAGTACTCTGCTTCCAGCTCTTTGTGTGGCTTCTTCTTACCCTCAGCTGTCCACTTCTGTGTCACCTCATCGGAAAGGCTTTTCCCGGCCCCTGGTGGAGTAGGCCTCTTTCTGCTGTGCACTGATGGGCGTCGTCACCGGCATTTACTGGCCCCAGATCTGAAAACACAAGTGTGGTTTCAGGAACCGCTCCACACACCAGCAAGAGGATCAGACCAATGACTTGGCACCACTCTCGGGTCCCTCGTGCAGGAGCCCTGACCCAGCTCAGGGCAGTAAAGGTGGAGAGGGAGAGGAAGACCTGCCAAAGCTTTTCTTGGGGGCAGCTGTGGTCCCTCCTCCCGCTCTCCCGGGGCTAGGGACAGGAAGTGCTTGCTCCTTAGCGCAGGCCTAGCTGGAGGGGATTTTCAGGGACCATTTGGGTCCCCTCTCTCAGCTGAAGCCACAGTGGGCAAAGTCTCGGGGCCAGAGCGTGTGTGTTTTCCCAGGGTGTGGACCCTGCGAAGGAGAGCTTGGCTTGGGGCTGGGCCAAGTCTTTCCCAGGGTCACGGTCTGGAGAGGCAAGGGCAGGGTACTGGGACCACGGCTGGGGGGCGGCTGGGCTGTGCAGGCAGCCCGTGTGGAGGCGCCGCTG